GACACTGATTTCTTAGGTCTTAGCCATTTGGGAATTGGGAACCCATTTCCAAGCTCATTTATTTATAAACCCAAAGCAAAATTAAGGTAGTAGCTTCAAAGTCAAACAGTCATCACCCACTCACCTTTACAATTATACTAATAATATTTTTTTTTATTTATCATTGTATACATAATTTTGTGTGTGAGAGAGTAATCGATAAGAATAAGATAATTAACTCATTATATTATTTGAATAAAAATAAATATTTATACTCTCATATATTTGTTTATGTTATGTTTTTTTTAAAGTATGATATTTTCTAATAAATGAATTTGTATTTGAAAATAGTATGTAAAATTAATGGTTTGGTCAACTTAAAAAAAAGGCTTATGAACATTTTTTAATATCTGAATTGATGGGCAGTGCCCACTTATATTAAAATAACATTAAATTTACTATTCTTTTTTTACAAAATAAAGCTATGATCTTTGCTAATCTCGTCCATTGATCCTTTCATTAAAGTAATTGCTAATGGAGCTGCTCAAACCAACTCAATATTTATTCATAACCATTAATTAATTAGATCTAAAATAATAATCTTCTAAAAAGCAACATTAATCGCCTTTAATTACTAAATTAAATCCCAAATAATTATTTCTTTAAAGAAAAACCTTCACCATTACGTGTAATGTATTTTGTAGTCTATGTATATAAAGATAATTTCCAGAAAGCAACAAACAAATATTAGCAGCAGTTCCCAGGTGCGGCGTTCGGCGGAAAAAAGAAATAAATTTCTTGAACAACCTTTAAACAAACTCATCCACTAAAGAGAAAACAAATTTTGACCAAATTAAATGATGCAGATAACTATAACTATAATAATAATAAATAACAAAAATCATTGTCAGCTATATATTATTGGTACAAAGAAGCCTTTCTCCTTCAAATTGAGTCACATAAATTCGTACAAAGCAATTGAAGACCATGAATTGCAATTTTAGTATTGTTGAAACAAAATGTCATTATCATAATAACATTTTTTTTTTTTTTGTCATACAATTTTGAAAGATTCGTAACTTTGATTCTATGAATTGGAAAGGGGCATTATTAGGGTTATAAACTAATCAGATTAATTGAGCCAGAATGATGTAGAAAAACGTACAAGTGAGACGATATTAATGAGATCGCTATGTTAAGAACAACTAAACATGACCTACGTGGCACTATAACATTGGTGGTTGGCTCCATAAAAGAGCCAACCATTAGCTCCATAGCATTTCTCTCAATTCTTATATCATTCTCAACTGAAGAATACAAAGTCCTTTAAATAAGGCTCCTAAACCCTCTTCTTAACTTGCCAACAAGACAAGATCTCTTACTAAATATTCTAATACCAATAATAAGAATAATAAACATTCTCTTACCAATTAAACACCAAACACAAAAAGAATAATAATAAAGGTAAATGGAAATAAATATATATCTAAATATAGAAGATATCTCATCTACATCATACTCTTCTTTTGGAGAGGATTCTCTCCAAAAGATATCTCATCTTTGGAGAGGATTCCGCCTCGAATCCACGCCGCACGGCGTCATCAGCTGTCCCACACACAAATGCCGATCTCAAAGGGAACCTGCCTCTGCCTATCGATAACATTTTTCAACTTTGAGTCCTAGTTAAGCTTCTTGACAGGGGAGCCCACTAATCCAATGTCTTCATTTCCATCCACAAAATGCGACAAATACAATATATCCAGAACAGATGAGTTAAGATTTCGTTTAGGATGAGGATCACCTTCGCCAAAGCCCAGGAGATCATATGTGACCAACCGAATACCACATTCTACCGACAACTGAATTTTGAGGCTTCTCGTCGAAAATAGGTGGACCGTCGTAAAGACCGTCCACGTCGCCAATAAGACGCTCCTCCATCTCCCCAGGTCCTTCATCAAACACCGGCGAACCATCGTAGAAACCGATCACGTCGGGGCCACCGAACTTCTCGGTGAACAATACACGTGAACCCACGAACTGAAAACCGAAACCCGACCCACCGATCGCAGCTCCAGCCCGCATCGAGGAAGTAAACAACGGCCCCACCTGAAAAGCCAACTCCCAATGTGGCTCGTTGAAACCCTCGATCTCACGGCGAGATGCACGATGCTGCGGCTCCTCGATCGCGTCTCCCCAGCGAACATCATGTCACTGCTCCTCGCCCACGAAACCTCAGTTGTGCCATTGTTGTCCGCCTGCGAAGCCATCCCGCTACTGGTGCCAACCGCACCGCTGCAGCTCGTCATCCAAGTCGCCGGTCTCGCGGTCGTGGTCCCAGACGCGACGCTGCCGCTCGATCCCAGTGAAGGCGGCCCCTTCGCGCTCACCCCACCCATCGTGGCGATGGCGGTCGCCACCAGCAAAGGCTGCACCACCGCGGTCAGGACCCCGGTCGCGACGCTGTCAATTGCCGACAACAAACCCTGCGCCCTGTAGTCGCACATCCTGGTCGTCGTATGCAGCAAAGGGCACATTGTCGATGTGCGGAGGTGGCCACTCACCGAAGGGATTCACCACCGAGATGGTCTCCTTGCGCGTCTTCATCGCCGAGCGTCGGTTGTGGCGATCTCTGGCGTGGCGCCCCGCCCAGACCACGACCTCCACGTCCACCGCGAGCTCCCCCGCGCACGCTTCGGTTGCCGATGTCATGGCACGTTTTCTTGTCTCGAACCATGGTATGGAGACTTAGACGTATGTCTCCGTAGGGATATTAATGAGATCGCAATCTCAAGAACACCTAAACATGTATGATATCAATTCTTACTTCATTCTCAACTGAAGAACACAAAAGATGAGTAGTCCTTTAAATAAAGGACTTAAACCCTACTTTTAACTTGTCCAACAAGACAAGATCTATTACTAAATATTTTAATACCAAAAATAAGAATAATAAACATTCTCTTATCAATTAAATACTAAACATGAAAAAAAATAATAAAGGTAAATAGAAATAGATATAAACCTAAATCTACACGATATCTCATCTTCATCACAGAATTTAGAGGTATTTTAATTTATAAGTTGAAATTGAATTTAGTTTATTGAAGATGTTCATACTCACTTGAACTTTTTGGGATTTGATTGAACCTAAATAGGCTTAGGAAAATTATATTCTTCTTATTTTCTTAGAAATACAATCCTAAATATTTCTATATTTATTATTAGTAACATGTGTTTGGACAATAACAAAATCTTATTAAGAAAACCAAACTCCAAACAACTTTCACTAAACCCTAGGTTTCTTTTTCAACCCTATAGTATTAACAAAATTACATACTTATATTATAAAATAAAGTTAGTTGTGTCTTACATTGAGAAGTCAAATATAAAAGTGAGTCTTAAATTGAGAATAACCTAAAATGATCTAAAGTATGATTTTACAACTTCAAAGTATACAACCATTTGATAAAGTATGACGGACATAATTGTTAGGCATGCCTAACAATCAACCTAAGCTGCACTAATTCTTGTATGAGCCGGTCTAGTCGTTAGCTAGGCGGAACAATAGATCCATCACTTTTTTTCATTTAACAAAAATGCCTATTTATACTATGAAATATCACACTTAAATTTACGTTGTTTTCAAAATATGATAATTCAATTTATAACTATATATAAAGATTACTTAACTGTTCGATCTGTCTAACCATTAACCATTAAACTTCCCTAGCACCACCAACTTTACCTTACCATCTCCAATAAACACTTGAATACACCCACAAAAAAAGAAAGTCTTAAGTACACATGTCCATATCTCCTTTTATTAAACCAAAAATTGCAATTATTTAAACCCTTTTAAATAAATACAATTTATAACACCCCATATTAGATATTACATAAGCCATTAACAAATGTCTCCTTAGAACCATACAACAAAGACCATTCATGTCCCCTTTCATCTCTTTTAACACCCAAAAATTCTCCCTCTTCATATATATCACCACACCATTTCCTAATCTCCCCGTGCAACTAAAATCCACTTTTCTTCAGAAAAATATTAAATAGTCCTTTTTCCTTTTCTCTCATCCTCAACAATATTCTTTCAATTATATTTATACGTTCTTTTTTTTTGCCTTAGAATTTTTTCTGCATATTTGTGATAATAATGTCAACCGGGACTGGGTCGCCGTGCGGCGCATGCAAGTTCCTCCGGCGGAAGTGCGCCCCAGACTGCGTATTCGGGCCGTATTTCTGTTCGGAGCAGGGCCCGGCCCGATTTGCGGCCATCCACAAGGTGTTTGGGGCCAGCAACGTGTCCAAGCTGCTGCTGCACCACGTGCCCGAGCCCAATAGGTGCGAGGCCGTGGTCACCATTGCCTATGAGGCCCAGGCCCGCATCAGGGACCCCGTCTATGGCTGCGTGGCCCATATTTTCGCCCTGCAACAACAGGTATTATATATTAAATAAAATTAAATAGAATAAGGAAATTCATTGTTTTTTATTTATTTTTTATTTTTTTATTTTTTTTAGTCTACTAAATATTTTGGGATTGTGTTCACACTTCACACAAACTCAAGATTGTGACACTAGAGCTCGGGTAGATCACTAAATTTGAAGTAGTTTTTACTAAATTTAAGCAATTTGATATTTGGAATAATTAACCAAATATTTACTTGTATTGAATTACTTGATAGTAGATAGCTGATTGAATTAATAGTTTTAAGTATCCAATTGCTCAAGATTAATTAATATTTGCAAAGTGTTTGGTAAATTGTTGGTTGATTGATGTGTAAGAATANNNNGAAAAGAACACTTAGATATTGAGCTTTTCGAAATTAACTTGTCCAATTCAAACTCATCAAATAGTTGAATTAGAGGTTTAGATGATAAATCATCTAATTCACCTCAAACCTCTAATTTAGATAAAAATCGCTGATTACCAAACAAGATCAATGTTTGACTCGTACACTACTAATCTTAATTTGCGAGATATCCAATAAGTTTATTTAATCTTCTCTCGATTTCAAATCAATTACAACAGGTGACTTATCTACAAGCCCAACTGATGCACGCAAAAGCCCAACTAGCCCAAAGCATGATGATGGACCAGTCATCACGAACCACAGAGAATCAATGGGCCGCCGGGCCCATTGACCTGAGTTGCATGGGCCCATCGTCTCAATTTCAGCTCCCAAATTATAATAATTTCACTAATCGGTCAAACATCTCACCTCAGAGCTCGTTGGACTCCATTAACGACCACACCATTAATGGCGGCATGCAAGAAATCCAAAGCAGAGATGAATTACACGCCCTGGCGCTTAGAATGATGAACAATGAAAACTAAGATTAATTGCGAAAACGACCCCTCATCTTTAGGTTAATTATGGATAGAGCCCAGTTGTCTTCTAAAATAACAAATAAGTCACTTGTCCTTTGTTTTTGTCTCACAATAGTTATAGAGTCAAGAGTGTAGGGGTTATTTTGTAAGGTAGTCATAAATCTTGAGGGTAATTTAAAATTTTAAAAGAAAAGTGGGATTTTTTTTTTTTTTTNCCTAGGTATAGTTTCTGTAATTATTTTGTGCGAAATTCAATCAACTTGTGCTTATCGAATTTTTTATCGTTCAACTGTACATTTACACAGATGTATGCTGATCGAACGGTAAAATTTTTTTCTCTCATTATTGGGCACCAATTTAATCGAAAAGCTTTAGAGATAGTGGAGTTTCGTGTTTTTACTAAAGCCTGTAAAACAGGATTTTTACTTATGATCGTGTGATGAAAGCATTAACTATGTGTCTTAATCAAAGCTTTTGGTTCTTAATCTTGTAGTAAAGCAACCTAGCTAGACCTAATAATAATTGATGTAACTAAACTCTCTTTACACTAATCCAGTAAATAATAATTCCATTAAGTATGGTTAGTGCATAAATAATTACATTACGGAACTTGGAAGTTTAAGTTCAATTTTGTGATTATAGCGTTCTTAAGTCAATCGAGCATTTGTCCATTCTAGATCCAATTGGAATTGGTACGATTAGTCAGATTTACTTTTTTAGTAAATATGTATAATTTTATATTCGAATATTATACTTTAAAAAAATAATTAAAATAAAAATATATATGATATTTTATGATATAAGTATATGCTTCTATTCAAAAAATATGATGGTCGACCCGAATAACGTTGGTCTATCTCATCCAAGAATTAGTGATTTTGAATTTAATCATGTCCTATGGTGCATGCCAATTTCCTTTAGTATAAAATATATATTTAAGCTTCTTAATTTCATTTTTGTAATGAAAATGAGTTTGGTTCATTAGAGCATCTCCAACCGTGTACATGAATTGTAGTATATGTGGCAATGAAATAGATGGTCTTCCATCCATGTGGAATAAATAGAGGTTCAACCCCATAAAACATCTCCAATGGTTTATTCTATATTCATGTTATCAATTTATTTTGTATTATAAATAAGGTGAAAAAATGATTCATAAGTCTAGAAGGACTTCTACATGTAGAAGGACTTCTAGAATTATTGTTTCTCTTTCATGCCACATAATCACAGATAGAATTGGAAAAATCGTTGTTGGAGAAGTTCTTTTATCAGATGACTTCTACAATTCCACAATTCACATACGGTTGGAGATGCTCTTAAGCTTTACTTGCTAATAAATCACTTTCTAGCTTCAACTTAATTTTGATCAGGTAAATATGGCCAATAAGGCTTATCAGTCCGCATGTCCTATAATTAGACAATTATATTTTTGTAACAAGATGCATATTTTCGAAAAAATATAATTGTCTAATTCATATTTAACGGTTAAACTGCAGTATGCAAAATTTTTAATACCGAATTTATTTAAGTTGACATTATTCTTCACTTCAATTCTTGAATTACACATTTTTAATTACATGATTGCACGTTTCTTTCGTAATAACTAAATATCCGAAAAGAAATTGGAAATTTGGAAATGAAAGAAGGCGAAACTTCTAGACTCACATTGTAGTTTGTACTTATTTTCTGAAGTTGCTAAATGGAGCAAAATATGAATTCCCTTAAAGACTCTTAAATAATGCATTATATTTAAAGAAGCTCATGAAATTATACTAATTAATTCAAGAACCAACTTTTTTTGGCTCTTTCCCACAACACTGATACAAAAGCAAAACCCGAAAAGAAAGAAGAAAATGTTGAAAATGCTCAGGATCATAATGAAAATGGAATTAAAATTTGAAGTGAAGATAAAATAAATGCTGCTGGAAGAATTGTGAGAAATTAATACGATGATATTTTTTTACCATATGGTGCTATCACATATATAAATATTATTATTTTGATACGATTAATATTTTTCAAAATAAATCTTCATTAAAAATTTAACAAACACAATGAATAATAAAATTAAATACAACTAAGAATAGCATTCTCACGTACGGTTCTCACGAGTTATTATTTAAACCATATCCTCTATAAATATATTTCAAACTATATATTAATGTTATTTACTAATTAATATCTCTTGTTTTCATCCCATATTATATCATTATACAAAAACGATGTATCATATTCAAGACTTGGATTGAAATAATTAAGTACATAGCAATAATTCTAAAGATAAAGCCCCACAAGAGATTTTTGAAATAGGAACCTTGAGATTTGAGTTGAAGTTGTTATTTCTTGTCGTTTATAAATATATTATTTTAACTATAGCTTACGTTTTTATGGCACGAACGGTTTCTGAATATTAATTTCATTAGCATAGAAAATTCATGCATTATTGAGGTAGGTTTGAATTCTCTCTTGTCCTTTCCCAATTTGTTAAGCAAACATGTTCATATTGTTTAAATGGTTTAAATGGCTAAGTTTCAGTTCAATTTTACTTGTGCCACGCTCTACACTTTGTCACAAGTTGGGAGAAAAATAGTGAAGAGAAGTATAGGGCTGGAAATTCTGGTTCCCATGATTTTGTTTAATCTATTTGTTTATTTCTTATTTGTAGAGTTTTTTAAGAGGCTTCAAAATGGAGTTAAGGCCATGTTGGATAGAGAATTTGCAGTAAAATTCGTTAAATATTGTGTTTGTGAATTTCAGCGGTTAGAAAATGATAGAAAAAATTAATGAATAATACAAAGTCGAGAAACGTAAATGTACAGTACTCTCCTTAAAATAAAATAATTTTATGAACTACCAACGTCTTATGACTAACGCCTTCAATGTATGACGTCTTTCGACTTGTATATTGCACTAATACAAAATCACGACCTTTCCTCGATACACTATTATTGTTTTGGAATAAAATGAACACAAACAGCTCTTTAAATTCAAGTTTATAAAGATATTCATGAGGTAATTGCAGATGTGTAGGCACAGGCTTTATGTATTTAACTGACACCTTTTGAGACATTCCCAGTGTGAAAAATACGACCAAAATCGAGTAGTTGCCTCCAGGTCGAGGGTGAAAATAAATTAATTCTAAATTGAATGTGTAGGAAAATATGGATTTTTGTAACTCAAAAATTGGTTAAATACAAAAAACAAACTAGTTAGAACGTCTTTCTAGTTCAATTTAGAATTAATTTATTTTCACCCTAAAACACTTATACACTTATACTTTTTTCGAATTCTTTACATACGAAAAATAGAATCGTAAAATCAGTNGAAATGAACAAGAACTAGAAAGCAGAAAGAAATAACCTAAGGGTACATCAAATGTAATCAGGAACAAGAGTATCCATATGCTTTGATTGCTAATTATAACATTGATTTTATGGTCCTTGACTTTTAATAACTAGGGATTGGCAAAAAGGTAAACTGCTATGATTGTTATTGAAGCAAGCACACGCTTGGAATTTAGTATTGTTCTTAAACCAAAGTGGTCTCATTAATTGTCTTGGATTATGTATCCCCTAATTATAATTAGGTTTACCTAATTTGAGTATTCTACACAATTTCCATGTCCCAATAGAACAACTTTTGTACTCAAATTTCTAGACCAAATGTTCCCTTAATTGAGTGCACTATCCATCGCTTGATTATATTTTTGTCAAATTCATCAAGAAAACTGAGTTTCATGTCCATATTGATGTAATGCAATTATGCAATAAAACTTTATAACTAATTTACGATCAAATGTTTATATCTATATTTATATCTACTTATATATACTCAAATTGTGATCCAGAATTTGGATTAGTCATATGTATTTGATTTACAATCAGATTGGTTAAGACTACTTATGTCAGCCCAGTCAAAACTCAATCGACCATTGTGACCTGATTTGACCCGAAATGTATAATTATTAAAATTTTAAAGTTAAATATATATTTCAACAATTGACTCGATAACTAGAAGGTAAGTCCATCAAGATCAATGCTAACTCGAGCCAGAGTCGAACATTCTTTTACTATTATCTTTTGAGAAAAACTGTTGTTAGAAGACCTACCAATTACCAATCGGAAGTTCAACAGATTTATATAAATTCAATTTGAAAATGTGAAATGTCACTCTTAAAAATAACATAAAAAAAAGTATGACAATTTATAATATAAATAAATATTTTCATCAAAGAAATAACTCACTCCACTTTACAGTTACACCACCTCATACAAAAATCAAACTTCCCATTAATTAAAATCTCATATTAACATCACCAACCAAGATGTGAGGTTGTAAAAACAAAAGAACTAAATTTCTTTTTTTAAACAAAAAAAAAAAAATTATTATCAAGAATCCACTGCTACATGTCTCCATTAGCCGAAGCTTGAACATGATAAAGTGGCTCTATACTTAATTTTTTTCACACGATAAAGATGGAACAGACAATACGTGGTTAGAAAAGAGAGGACAAATGAGGGCACTGTCAACTTTTGCATTAACAATTTGATAAAAGATAAGAAAAACAGTGTACACAATAATGGGCCAAAGATTCGTTAATATATTAATTAAGGACTATATTTTGTTCATTAGGCTTAAACATACATTTTTTTTATATATAGAATTTGTTTCTAGAAAGGCTTCAAATTTAATTTATCAAAGTTAATTCGTTCAAGTAAAGAATAGTGAGGAAAATCCAATGTAGATCCTTTAATTTGATGTAATTAATGTTGGATTGTTCGTGGCGTGGGTGTTAGACATCATAGTCACGTATGCTAAACTTATATTTTTATTTTTTTAAGTATCTAAGTTATTGGATTAGTATTTTCGTCCTTTTTTTCTTTAATAATAAACGTCTTTACTTTTTTAAATTCCTTTTTCGTAGGCAAAATTGTCGTTTCCTATAACATTTTCAATAATTATAGTTCTATCACAGACTTTTGTTTTTTAAATTTAATTTATAATATCGTTAACTTTTTTTTCTCATTGATGTATGTCTATGGTCTGATATGGAGAAAAGGACTTTATATGGCAAATTTCGATTTGGGAAAAAGAAAATGAATTGTGTATTGTTTTGCTAAGAAAAAAAAAAAAAAAGATTGTGATTGNGTTTTTTTTTTTTACTAAAAAAAATTATATATCCAATGTACTATTGTATTTGATTTCATATTTATAGCACAAAACACTATGCCAACTAATTTTGTTTGTTCATGCGATTTTCGAATACTTTATAAGGATCTGAGGATTTTGATTAACTTTATAATTAAGTATTCTATTTTATTTATTTGAACTTTGTCCTGACTATTTTTATTTTTATTAAGCATTATTAGTTAAGACAAACTCTGAGAAACATGTTTCCTTTATTTCCTTTTTTCTAATTCTTTTCATTTCTTTTTTTCTTTCACAATTAACCATTGGCGGGATTTGTACATAATATATGAAATTAATCTATAATATACATTCTTGTGCATGGAGAAGAATTTTTGGGCCGCTGGCATGTTGTCGGCCCTTTTAAGATGGATATTAAAGTATGCTGACAGGGATATGTTATTTAATTTATAGATAAAGTTTGGCCCAACCCAGCCCACTAGATGGAAAAAACTATTGCAAAATTTATTAAATCCCAAAAGATATGGGCCGAGAGAAGTAAATTATATTTTGGTCAGCTTAATTAAAACACTTGTACTAGATCTCCTAAGATCTAGGGGAGGTTTGTTTTTTGCATTTAGAAGGATCTATTCAAGTTTAAAATTGTTAAAAACTTAATACATCAACAGCTAAATAATCACAACAATTTTTGTTTGGCAAATGAATATTAAAAGCATAAGATTGTTAAACTAATTTATATGTTTCTCTTTAAAAAAAATACTTTATATGTATTAATAAACCTACTTTGACATAAATAAGTATATTTAGTGTTGTTGATTTTAAAAGCAATGTGATATGTGTTATCATTTTAAGGTTTATGTAATCTATTTATCTATTTATGTTATTGTAGCATGATTCTATATGTTTATATGTGTTCTAGTAAAATTATTAGATTTATATAAATTGGAAAAATAATGGAAAACAAGTAAAACAACTATTTGTTTATTACTTCCTAAACTGTTTCTAATCTCCTACAATCCACATTCTAAAATAACTCTAAAATTGAGAAACCTACTTCTATTTTTAAATCATATCTGCAATCCACATTCTAAAATAACTCAGGAATAATTGAGAAAACTACTTTTATTTCATAAATCATATCCTTCCATTTGAATTTGAGCATTATATCATATATCATATGATATAAATCTGCATATCATGTAACTTACATTTAATTTAATTTGAGTATCATATATTATCTTATAAATCACATCCTGACATAATTATATTATAAATCATATCTTTACATCTAACTTGTAATTTTTTTTTAATTGTAACTTTTTTATGTTTAAGTGGTTCTCTGCTTCATTTCTTAATTTTATAATTACAATAAATTAATATTAGATGTGTCTGGTTTTAGAATTATTAAGAGGGATGTATTTATAATTAAACTTTTAGTTAGAACCATTCTACTACATGTATTTATAATTAAACTTTTAGTTAGAACCATACAATATTACAGTACTTCTATTTACCATGATAGCATTGAATTTATTTAGGATTATTTCAAATACTTAGTAAGTAGGCAATTTAAATTTATTTATACATATTAGTTTCAAATACTTAATTAGTAGGTAGGTAAATGGAATTATAAATACTAATTTAGCGGGATAATTTCATATTTTATTTTCACAAGTCATTTTGTGTTTTATTGCATTGTATGAGTGACACACATCCAATATAACACTTATCATGCACACTTGTCATCTATCCATTCGATCACCAAGTCAATTATCATGCACAAGAATATTAATATTAAGCTATGAAAATTGCCAAGACTAAATAACTGATATAAAGCAAATTAAAAAAGCTCAAACTCAAAATATCACAACAAAACTTATCACCATTAATTATATCCCTACTTGAACAATAATCACACATGGTCTAAAATAACTACCTTACATAGGGTGGGTAAATAGGCCTCTAACAGAACAACTCTAGGGTTTAAATCCACCTTACGTAAAAAAATAACCATATATCATCATCAAAACCTGCAGATAAAAGCCAACAAGCCAATTCAAAAAAAAATTGGCCAATTATTCATATGCTACACCCATATAACACTAGCTAAATTATTCATTTTTTCCCTCGAGATTAAATTAATGCTTCATGTATCTGAAAGCCACTGACTGTAGATAATCAGCATCATCATCTTGAAAAATCCACTGCCCGTTATTGCTCGACTGCAGCTCGACCGAGTCCATGCTATCAAACGAGTTCTTCTCCTCCTCGAAACCCGTGTTTTCGCACTTGGCGTGATTAGGGTTCAAGTTCATGGCCTCAGGGGCAAAATAGTCATCAAAATTTTTCTGGCTTGCATCTTCAAATTGAGGCATTGTGATTTGATCCTGCAGCCAGCTTTCGATATCCTGCGGTAAAAAGGCGCTGCTCGTGGCATAGAATTTTTGGTCGTAATTAGGGTTTACGGAATTCGAGCTGTTTATTATGCATTGAGCTGCTTGCTCCCTAAGGGAAGCCACTTGAGCTTGCAAATACATAACCTGAAAAATGTCAATGAAAAAACAAAAAAAATAAAGAAAAAAATTAGAACTAATTCACAAGAAATAGGTTTTGCACAAGTTTTAGTGTGAGGTAGTTTAATGATTAGACGAGTCAGCCCGTCATAATATGTTAACAGAATTGGATACTTATACACACTATCAAATGTCATACTTCTGCTAGCTATTATATTGTTATTGATCAAAGTCTGACATTTTGTAATGAAATGTTGCCTAATGGTTAGGCTGGCGTAACAGAAGAGTTGTGTTCTGTTAGGTTTAATTGCTTCCTTTTCTATTCTTTTTTTACCCTGTTAAATTAGGGTTAGTTGATTCTTCTTCTTCTTCTTCTATCTTCTTTTAATGCACTTTGTCAATATGAAGTCCATGTTTCCTTGATCATGACTTAGATCAACTATACTTTTATGAATTTGGATAGATTTAGAGAACAAGAACAAAAAAATAAATAAATAAATAAAACAGTATGAACCTGTTGTTGGAGAGCAAAAATATGAGAAACACAACCATAAATGGGATCTTGAACCCTAGCTTGGGCCTCGTAAGCAATCGTGACAGCCGCTTCACAACGATCGTTAATCGGGAGTTGGGTGAGTAATTTGGAGACATTGCTAGCTCCAAACACCTTGTGAATAGCCGAAAAATGAGTCGAGCCTTGCTCGTGACTGAAATAAGGCGCGAAAACGCAACCCTTTACGCATTTTCTTCTCAAGAACTTGCAGGCACCACAAGGCGAACCAGAGCCTGTCATTTTTTATTTTTTTAACTAATCTTTTGTTTGTATGTTTATCTTCTTGATTGATAGTTTAGTCAATCAGGTTTAAGAAGGTGGGTTTATTTAGGGCTAACTAGTGCAAAGAGCATTATTACAACATGGTTTATAAATAACAAGGGGAAGGGGGAGAAGGATTGTATTTTATTGTGTAATTTATTGAATATTGTTCCCTTATTGGGCTACCAAATTCATTTAATTAATTCCATGTTTTATTTTTCTCTCCCCTAAAATATGTTATCTCTAGTTAAATAAACGCTCTGTCCTAAAAAATTTTATAGTCTAATTTAAAGATTCCATTGAGTGTCCTTAAAAGGACAAATGAGGTAACATACACCAAACCCATTTTTATTTGTTCAAACTTCAAAGATTGGAGTTTAGCTTCCATTGTCAGTATTATCAAGATTTTATTGAAGATTTTGGCCTTTTGTCACGTCAATAATATAGCAACAACCGCACGTAAGACTTAAAATAATGTCTTCTGGTTCTTTATTGTAGGGATTGCAATTATATTAGTGTTATATTATTAAACATAATAGATACAGATTGAATGTGAATTATAATATTAATTCAGAATATTTTCCTATTAATAACGGATATTTTTAAAATGAATGACTCTAGAGATATGGAACAAATTAATAGTGAAATGTTATACGATATATAAATTAGTTGAGGTTTAAGGTTTAATAGTAAAATACCAGTATATCTTAATTGAGCACATGTCCAAGTAATTTCTCCTTCTGTTTTACATCTTTGAAATATCAATTGTCAAATTCCATATTCAAACCGCTTAGTTAGCCTGTGACAACTTGATTTGTGTTTTCCGAGCGATTGTACATTTTCCATTGCGTTTCAACAATTTGTGCATAATAATTGGATGTTTTATTAGTTATTGGGTATTTACTAGTATATTGGATGATTTTGTTAGCTTTATTTTAATGATATGATTGATATTCAATTTTTAATAAAAAAAACTTTTCATAGATGATGACTCAATACTGACATGAAGCATTTTTTCTTAGAAAAAAATTATCTGTGCAATACAATCGGATGGGTGATGATATGTTAATGATGTATTAAATGATTGTTTCATTCCAAATTTTGAGAAAGATATTCTGACAGTGTTTCAAAAGAAATTTATTTTATGGAATTTATTGTGTCTATCAATTTCGGTCTCTTAGTTACAGCTAGGGGTGTAAAGGAGTTCGGCTCGAGCTCGAACTCAAGCCTTTAACTAGCTTATAATCGAGTTTAAGCTCGGTTCCTTTATTAATATTAACAAGCTGAGCTCAAACTTTAACGAGCTAAAATCGAGGTGAATTATATAAAAATACATCAAAATCATCTTTTGGAGCTTTATCGAGCTGAACCGAGCTCAACTGGATAACAGGATAAGCTTTAAATGAGCTCGAGGGAGACGATGTTACAACAAATTGAAATCACGCATACAATAAATATTAACTTAATATGTATTCTTATTTTGATAAAAGTATTTCTTAAAAAATATATTACAATGTATAATTCATAAATTAATATAATTTTTATCAATAACCCAGGAAATAATATCTTATTATAATTATTGCTCATACCATTAAAAAAATAAAAATAAAAATAAATTAAACTAGCACCTGTTGTCCTACGCCATACATAAACTATATTATATGGAGTTTTGTAATTCATTAATGGAAGAGTTTAGCTTATTGCCCCACAGCCTATAGGGCTATGTTACTTTTCTTAATCTGTACTTTCAGAATTTTCACTCTTTAATTTATTTTCTGCAACAGCTTATAGGGCTATGTTACTTTTCTTAATCTGTACTTTCAAAATTTTCACTCTTTTAATTTGTTTTTTGCAAAGCACCTACACCAATGCTCTCAATGATTCAACTTTTAATTAGCACAAGACAAGCTCTACTTACCCCTAGATTTTAACTTTTACATTTTCTGCGCCTCATCGTTAATTTCAAGAAAAGTAATAGTGAGGTCGGGCCAAAAATAATAAAAACAGCACTATTTTTCGCCCAAGCCAGCTCAAAATACCTTTCGTACTCTTTTGGTTACCCGTAGCTTAATTTGGGTTAGGGCAAGAGTTTGAAGTGAACTTGTACAATATTTTTTCAAATCTATTAATATATAAAGAGGCATTGATACACTACAAAAAAATTGTTATATTCCAACGGAAAATCCTATGGTAATATATTTCAGTGAATTCCAACGGATATTCCATTGTTATAGTTTTCGTTGGAATGTATTTTTTATTAGAATTTTAGATTGAATTTAATGATTCCAGCGGCTATATTTCCAACGACTTTTGACCGTAGGAATTTTCGTTGGAATTTGTAATTTCTGTTGGAATTGTTATTTCCACTACCGTTGAAAAATCTAACGTTGGAATCGTCAAAATCCAACGGAAATTCCAATGAAAAACTCATCCCAACGGAAATAATAACATTAAAATATCCGTTGGAATTGCCCTTGGAATTCTATTGAAATATATTTTCGTTGGAATTTCATCATTTTCTTGTAATAATATTTACTTGAAATGGTAACTAAAAATCAGTAAAAAAAACATTTGGTTTCCCGCCTAAAAATTTAGGTTTACTAAACTGGATAATTTTTTTGGCCAAAACTTGAAGAATCCCGCCAAAATAATGTAATTAATGTACATAATCATTTTGGTCAAAACTTGCGGCTATTCCTTTATTAGTTGCATGATTTAAATTTGGTATATAATATATTGACCAAAAAAATTATTTAAAATTAAAAATCAAAAAATAATTATTCATAACTTACGGGTCAATATTAGCTTAGACGTAAACGAAATAGTCAATTATTTATAGTTTAATAAATTACTCGACTACTTAATTTTTTTTTATTTGAATAGTTTATACAAAAATAAATTTATTTTAATTAATGAAACAATGTACATTTTATATTTATACTTATTATCCACATAGGTTATTAAATATAAGATAAAATTTTACCAAAATAACTATTTTATGGAATCACATTATAGTCAAATCGAATTTCTGAATAAAAATTTTAAAATGACACTTACATTGAAACGAATATAGTGTAATTTATTATCAGTTATGTGCACCGCACGGGTTGTGTATTAATTTTAAATCGACATTTTTATGTAATTTTGCACAATTTAAATTTTATATAACATTTTTAATAAATTAATATAGGTAAAGTGTATTACATATTGATTCCATACTTTAAATTTATTTATTATCCAATAAGAATTTTTAATTTATAAGTATTAATGAATATCTTTTACCATGCGCTGCACGGGATTCATACTAGTAATTGCACATGGGATATAGCACTTATCCATTCCATTATGTAGTTTTCCATTTTCACCAAACACAAAATGTTGTTGTTAAAGCAAGTTTAACTACTTAAATGGTTGCATCTGTTAAATTTCATATATTTATACTATTACATGCCTTGGCTTGTGTATATCACTACAAAAAAATAATGAAATTCCAACGAAAACATATTCCATTGGAATTCCAACAACAATTCTAATGAATATTCCAACGCTATTATTTTCGGTAAAATATTTTAATGGATTCCAACAAAATATTTTGTTGGAATGAGTTTTCGATTGGAATTTCCGTCGGATTTTGACGATTCCAACAGCTGAAATATGAGTGAAAATAAAAATTCTAACGAAAATTGCATATTCCGACATAAATTCTTACGGTGACAAACCGTTGGAACAATTGTCGTTGTAATCATCAAATTCCATCTAAAATTTCAGCGATAACCCATTCCGGCAGAACTATTTTCATCGGTATTTATGTTGGAATGATTTCAACCGAAGCTATACCATTGAAATACACGTTGAAATTTCTAGTAAAATATATTACTGTTTGAATATGGTTTTTTTTATAGTGTATGCCTTGCGTTGTTGTTAGACAGTCAGACTATTAGATGAGTCAACCTGTCAAATTTCATGAATAAAATTTTATAATTATACTATTAAATATCCTACATTTGTATGCCTAGCCTTTTCTGTAGTATGACATTTCGAATATAAAAATATGTACATCTTCTAATTGTCGTTTCCTAACAGCAACATTATTATAGGCAATGAATATAAAACTTTTAGTACAACATTAGTATAGGTAATTTGTACAGCATGAATGTTAGATCACCAGTTACTATAATTGCAATCTTGATAAAAGGAGAAACATAAAAAAAAAGGTGTAGAACAACCTCGATCCCCTTGTAACGTCCCTGAATCACTCCAATTACCTGCAAAACAGCGTCGATGGTGTTCCGACATAAAACCTCCAACACTCAAATTCGTTCTTTAAAGTGATATTATATAGTAATTAGTATCTTATAGTGTATAGAGAGAGAAGAAGAGTTTTAATCATATATTTCTCTTTATATAGGTGGTTTTCGTTCCCAATAACCTTCTCCCTCCCGACTTGAAGACCTTTGGAGTCCAAAACTGGGCTGAAACTCGTCTGCTCGCTAGATCTGACTAGGCACATGAATAACTTTGTAATTTTTGGTTCTGTGGTCTTAGATTTACAGCTCTCTTGGGTTTTTTATTGTTGGGTATGGCTCGTGTTCACGTGACTGTTATATTCTATTTTTTGTAGGTGTTCGTTGTTGTTTTCTTTTTTGAGTTTTGTTATTCTCCTTTGTAAAGTTTCTTAGTCTTTTTTATAGAGTTTTGTTTTCTTGGTGTTCGTAGTACCCCTTGGTTCCCTGTGTAATTCTAATGCCTAATGGTGGATTGATCCAGACTTTGTTCTGGTTCTTATGGTGTCATTTGATATATCAGATGTACTTTTTGAGTTTTTAATATAATTATCGTTTAAAACAAAACAAATTATCGCTTTGGTGAGTATGATCCTTATCTCTTGCTGCCCAAAATTTCTTGTTGCCCATGGTTTATTGCCGTGATTGTGTCCACACTGTCCTTATCTAGTCATGTTTACACATAACTCTTCTTCCTCAGCTGCTCTTCTTGTCGAGGTCCATAGGTTTCTTTTGTCTTTAGCTTGCTCCGGGATGAACTGTCCTCGGTCCCTAGCTCGCTCATGCGTATTTATCAATAGACTGACCTGTACATGACCGAGTTGAGTTAGCTCAACTGGCTCCGACTTCCTGCAACCTGGTCATCTCGACTTGAAGTAGCTCTGGTCCGGTCGACCTTCTTAGCCTGCTAGCTCACGAGATAATGAACCTGGCTCTGCCGAGCTAGGACCAAATCAAAATAATATTAATATGTTGTATCTACAATCATCTACTAAATATTTCATGCATAAGTATAACCCTTAATTACGGTAAGAGAAACTGATTACAACTATTGAAGCTGGCACATTAGTTACTTTTAAGGGAAAACAGCAAACCCCTAAAGAATTTCACCAGATAGGAACAAAGAAACTTTTAGAAAAATGGCATATTCCAAAATATGATGAAACAAAAGATAGTGACACTTGAATACAACAACCTGAATGGGGAAATTGAGCACATAACATGGAGATTTAAAAGTTGGAGCCTTTTTCTCTTTTGTTTAAGCCTTTTGGAGGTCACAGCTTGACAAGCTATTAAAGCAGACTATTAGTTTCATTATTTTAATCTTGTATGTTAGTATTAATCAATTAGTTATGTCACATATAGGCACAAACAGGTAGGCCTACATTGCACGTCCACATGCTGTGTATTTAAGGCCCCACACTCTCAAATTCCTAATTAAAATTTCAACACCGAATGACACTGAAACAAATCCATATATGCACCAAAAAGCACATGGTTTATAGTTCATAAATTAAAATTACCAGTAACTCTTTAATTCTTGATATTATAATGGAGTTTTCTGATTACACTTAAGGATATTATAAGACTCAAAAACTCAACGGAACGTGTGTGTATCTGATAATATCACATCCGTGCAAGTGTGATTCATGCAATCATATGAAACACAGAAAAGAATACAAAAATGGAACATGAATGCAATCTCATGTGAAGGATAGATGTGTGTGTAATTGAAAAAAGAAATGCGCTAATCATTTACTTTAACCATCTGTATTTTCTCTTTCGACTACATTTAACCCTTCAATCTACTTAATTTTGGGACACAACTTATGCAGTAGGCTCCGGTTTACTATCCGTTTTTCGTAATATTATTTTCATTTGTTCATGAAGAGCTAGCTCTCTCTCTCTCTCTCTCTCTCTCTCTCTCTCTCTCTCCTCAATTCTCATCCATCATGGTTGAGATTGCTAATGGCCATATGAATCCGAATCCATGTGTACTTGTTGGCCACTTGACCAAGAAAGGAATCCTCCAAAAAAAACAAAAAAACAAACAAATAAGCAACCGTGCTGCAATAATGTAGGTTGTGCGTAACAAATCCTTTTGTAGCAACTCAACCAGTATACTTATCTATTGCATCACTGTTCAGACTTTCAGACACAGCTTAGTATTTTTTATACTCGCACTTAATTAATTTCCCAACCTTTATCTTTTTTGAAACATTGTGTGTATTTTGATTAGTCACCTTTAATGTTCTTACAAACTACAATTAATCTAGATTTTTTTTTTCTTTTGGGACATAGGCTAAAACAATTGTCTAATCAAGTGATTTGATGAACTGGAAACAGATCATTGGTTAAAATTTTTGACGAAAATCAGTTCCAATAAAATAAGCACATTAACATGTCAATCACCATAAAGATCAGCATTTTCCAATCTGTGACAGCATGAAATGAATATAAGAAAATGTCATGGTTGATGGTTAAGATATTTCATTTTCAAGAGTTCCCGCTTTTTATTTAGCATGCAACTAATGATTAAATCAGATTTTCGATACCCATGACTCTAATCTAGAAGCTGATAAAATTTCTATGCAAAATGTCTGACATGAGATACGCAAGGGTTCTAATATAAATAATTTTGGTGTGAGAACTGTGAGTACCAATATAATTTTATTTTTAATTGTGTATGATACTAATTTTTATATTATATGGTGCTATCATAAACACAGATGCTATTATCATTATAGTATTGTTGCTTTTAAAAATAAATCCTAATTAAAAATAGGAACACGCACAATGAAAAATAACATTAACATTACACAAACAAAAAATACCGTTCTCCCGATTCACAAACTAAGAACTAGTTCTTTTTTAAACCACATACATGAGGGTTCATTCGATTCTATTTGATTCTACATATGACTAGTGAGTTACTGAGTTTATTACGAAGATTCCCCATATGAGTTTATTATGCATCTTTTTTATTTAATTAAATTATGAAAAAGAACAAGGTTTGTACAATTAAATTCTTTAGAACTACAGGGTTTATAGTTCAACTCAACTTTGTAATATATACTGAGAATCAAATCATTGGTCAAACAAGTAACAAAAGGTTTTTGCAAAAATCATTAGATCCTACAAAACGAATTTAATATGTAGGATTTACATCTGGAAGTGACCACACATGTGAAATTCTTTTGACCAGTAGACAACAAAAGAGGTTCTTTCTGTGATGAATAAAATTTGTTGACCCGAAAATTGGATGCCATATACAATAATGAAATGCTTCTTTATTCCTCAATAATGACTCAGATGTCCAAAACTTTTTTTTTCAACTTCTTAATGTCCCTCACTCGTGTGCCATTATAAAAACAGAAACACACGTGTACATAAAAGTACTGTCACAAATTATTTATGTGAGGTGGCCTAATTGTTAGTGGGTCAATCCGTCACTCTTTGAACATAAATGCAAGTTATGCTATAAAATGTCATACTTTTATTTACGTTGTCTTTTAGAGTATGACATTTCAGTTTAAAAGCATGCATGTCCATTAAAAAAGTATGGCTACTTAACCGTTAGACCTACTTAACAATAGCCTTACTGAAGAGAACAAAAGAATTTGTACAGAATCCCACATTTCAAATATCACTACAACTTAAAATTATTTTACAGAAAGCTCAAGACCACAGTTTGACGCGCACGTGGAGAAATGTCTCGTTTTAAGTAATCAGGACACGTGGATGATGAATATACAAAAAAATAGTCTTCTACCGTTAGACAGGGATAATGGTTACGTGTAGCTATGTCTTTTCAACAAATATGCATATTTTCAAACTAAAATGTCATACTCTACAAACCAACATAAACAAAAGTATACATGTTATAGCATAAATATACATAGGTTAGACAGTCTCACACAAAAAAAATTTGTTATTCTCATAGTTGTGCAAGCAGCTATATTATAAAACTATGAACAGAAGATCCACTGCCCTATAGCTAATTAAATTTCACCACAGTTGGATCTTAAGGGCAAAACTTTTTGGTGTTCTCCACTTGGAGAATACATCAGCTCAAAATGTTGACATATGAGCTTCGAAGTACTCAAAATTTACCAATATTTGGGGAAAAGGGCCATGTCATGTATTTTTTATCACTTTTTCTTGGATGCTGCTATGGAACCCTAGGGCTGTATGCATAATTATAGCCAATAGCTATCTATAACCTGTCATGGAGGTGGCTTTTTACAGTCTTTATCCATATCATTATATCAATAATTATCATCAAAGGGTGAAAAAGTTAGTGCTAATGGACCTACAGCTCACACAACCAACTTTAGTTCAGTAATTGACAAGTACTTTTTTAGCTTCCATCCCTGGATGCTAGTGCTCACAGTACTTGCATTTATGATTTATCTAGTTAAATACTTGTGTTATAGAAATTCTTTATCACGAAGACAACTTAATCTCAGTAACAGAGCACACAAAATTTCATCCGTAAAAAAATACTTAAATTCGGTATTGTAATAATATTAAACAAAATATTATTTGAATCTAGCAGAATATAAGATAATGTACAAGAAACAAACAAAAAATCATGTTCAGTCAATCAAAGAAATCGGTAAACCTTTAAGTACGTCCCACATCTGTGGTCTGAAATTAGGTTGCTTGAAAGCAGTATTCTTTGAAAATGTTCACCTGGATTTCTTCTCAACAGTATGAAGTATTCAATGTGTTTGTAGTGGCCTTCAGAATCCACGTTCCTCTTCAAGTAAAGAGATTCCTGGGTACCAAAAAAAATCATCATTTGCCTTTGTGGCTATTTTTTTCAAGTTCAGCTTTGTTGGTTTGCATGTTAGAATTTTTGGCAATTAGGATTTCCCTCTTCGTGGGCATCTCTGCAAATTTGTAACAGTTAGTAACTCAATATTAAGAAATTACTTCTGGCTACATACTATATAGATATAGTACCCTAAGCATGACAAATTTCAGTTTTTCACTAATATCTCAATATTAAGAATATGGACCTATCTAAAATGGTGGGGCATGCTTTCCTATCAGTTTCAATAATTTCATTGGCTCAACCATGTCAAAGAAGAAAAGATCAGTATCGGGACTGAATCATCCTGCACGAACGCAAAAACTCAATGCAAAAGGACGAAATATAGCCAATAATCTTTCTCTACACAATAAAGAAACTGATAGAACCAGACCTGCATAACAACAGTGGTCACAAAATTGCAGCAACTTTCAGCCAATTCTTGGAAGACACAAGGAGAGGTGGCAAAACCAACAAGCCTCAATCTAAAACTCTTTTGACTAATTAGTCAAGCAAAAGAAGAAAAAAAAAATCGGAACAAAAATGAATAAATCACGCCACCTTGTGTTTCTCTAGGCACATTCGGATGATATCCATTTCGTGATACGGAAACCAACGAGCCCTCGGCAATGCCAAAATGTGTTGAATATCCTTCTATTGTGATCTCTTCAGGGCCAGAAGATAAGATATCAGTGATAAGAATAAGATCGTAGACAGTGTTGATCCCACATATACCAAGAATGACGAGCATTATTTGCAATTCAATTCCTTTATAATACCCAGGTCCCAGCACGCTGGAGTTTTTAATAAACTTGCCACATTTTTTTGTTTGATCATGCTATTCCTGGCCAGACCAGCTGCATTATGTTTGTAAGCACCCTTCGCAAGTTGACGTATATAAGATCCTAGACCTAAAATCACCAGCATCACTGTTAGATATTTCTCTATCGTGTGATAAAGAAAATTAGATAAAGTTTAAGGAGGGTTAACGAGAAATATTCTTACAGGAAAATGGATTGATTGCTGCTAAAGTTGAAGTGGTATGAATCAGAAGTTGGCGGCTCTAGCACAAAGAGAGAAAAAATTGTTCAGCTTTTGAGAGAGTGTTTCGATTAAGTTTGACAAACTCTTTACATGTGTTTAGAATTCAAACTAGAAGCAGAATGAGAATGTAAACCACACCACCCATTCTTTTCAATTTGAAAAATGAACCAGAATTCCAAATTCGCAAACACTAGATTGTGACATTTTTTTTCGAGCTAAAACCTCATAATCACATTTGCTCTTTAGTGTTTGTTACCACTCCCTTACTCGAAGATGAAGGAAAACGATTTTTATAATTACCATTGACATCGATGAGATAATTTCACCCTTCATCTTGTCTAAGGATTGGAGTTACAAACCAATGGTAAGATCACTGAGACTCCAACCCTAGGAATCCCGGGTAGCAGCTTGTACTCAATCCCATTCCCTGTAAAACAAACACTCATTATGGTAAATCAGGTAAGGTAGGAACATAGTCCCCTGGCAAAAATGCAAGTTGTCATGATGAGATAGTTGCAACCATGAAATGTGATAATACCTTCCCTTTTCGCACGTTAAACTTTCGAAAGGTTCAACCTCCCACAACATTAGAAGTTCTTGGTACAATCACAAAAGAAAATTTCATATGTAGCTCCTTAACAAAATCTGCAAGTAGAAAACCTCTTAAAATCCAATTGTTTTCAGCATTAATTTGAAGTTAACAAAGTTCCTTTATGAACTTCTCACAATTCATTAAAGCATCAGATCAAACTCCTCATAATCCCACAATGTACACAAGAGGACAAAAAAGAGAAGAACAAACCGACAATTTTCACCCTAAATCAGTAAAACCATGCAATCGAACTGAGAAACATATTATGCTAGCAAAATCTCATTCTTAAACCAAATTATTCCGCAGAATCACCTGAAAATGAAAAAAAGCACCAAAAACCTGTTGGAAGAGCCCATTCATACAGCTTCAAAGTCGCTCAATTCATCCGCCGACGAGCTGTAACTGCTGGCGACGTTTTTTTGTTTTTCTAACTTTTCCTCATATTTTCTAGTTTTCAATTCACCGCCATCCCGAATTCGACCTATGGAAACGTTTCAGAATACTGTACGCGCACCTCCGACATAAATATCAATAATCTCATTCTCCTGCTAAAATCTGCAAGGGCAATAAATCAAATAAATAAACAATAAGCTGAATTGAATGCTGAATTTCGTGGATTCAGAAAAAAATTGCTGACCCGAGGTGACGTAACTTCGTACTTGTTACGGTCTGTTGATCGGAGAAAGTGAGACGCCGTCGGTATAGTAATTTTGCGGGGAAGATGGTGGGAGACGAAAATAGATTTAGAAAGCCAGGGCTTTATGGTCATTTGCTTATATTGGGCTTTTGTGTTGACCATTATGATATTCATGATCGAAACTAAATGCCCCTTCAGTTTCCATTTTGAACCCAGCCCAAGCTTTCACATCCACTTGGGCCTTGACCATATGAAAAACCAAAAAGGAGACTCATATGAATGGCAAAATCGTGTACAGAGTTCAAAGAGGTATACTTCAGTCTTCAGGCATAAAAATGAAATTTTCCCTACTTCGTTTCATATTGGCATAGGCATCGTTAAATTTATTTTTCTTACGTTTTCTAGTGTTAAAAAAAAAAGAAAAAAAAACTCGACCTCAAGCTATCCCTGCTCCATTTTAAATTTTGTAGTTATTATTTTTTTTTTTAAGGTATAAAAGAAGAGAAGAAAATGCCCCTTGAATAGTATTTGGGATATAAGTGGATTTTAATTTACTTTTTAATGTACTTGATTATTCTAAAAAAAAAAACTTCCTCCATAATTGATGTTCATTATGTTGTTAGTGAATATTAACATGCATGTCCGAATTTTTTCCTGTTCTCTTGACAAAATTAATGAAATATGTAATAATGACAGGCTTGGAATCTTGGCTTTTCTAGTAGAATACAAACAAATCATGGTTTAAAGAAGAATTAATAAACAAACCCTTATATTCATTGAACATTGAATGTCGACTTAATAAAGATTTATTCGTACGCTGGTCCCCTGTCAATAATTTCTCAACAATGTTAAATAAAAATGTTGCATGCTCATAATTTTGGTGGTTTATTGGATTAGTACAATGGTCCCCTATCAATAATCCTGATTTAGACTTAGTTTTTTATACAACAAAAACAACATACTACAAACATGAGCCTTATAACAACAAACAACAATTCTGATTTAAAAGTTGGCGACCAATTGTTAGTTTTTAAGAAAATAAATACACAAAGGATTATTAATTATTCTCATACAATGTTTTGATGAGCATCATTGCCTTGAAGATTATTACGTTTGAATCTGAGCAAAAATGGAGATTCTAATGTCAAACTGGTCGGATGATGTTCAAAATATGCCCGAAAATTACATATTCCCACTCGATAAACGGCCCGGAGAACATGTTTTTCCAATTCTGAACGACATACCTGTAATCGATCTTGCTATGGCGGACGGAAACAACAGAGGAGATATAATTTGGCATATTTTTAGCGCAATCCAAGAATTCGGGTTCTTTCAGGTCAACATTTCTAATATTTTTAGCGCAATACTATGGTTTTTTTTTTTCTTTTGAATTAATCTACTTTATCAGATTGATTTACGAACTAGCTAGCTTTCCAAACTATTAAAACCAAAATCGTAGTCAATTCCAGTAATATTATAATGAGAAGAATAACGTATATTTATCTAGTGTATTTTCATTTTTCGAGCAATCCAGTCTTTAAATCGTGTTTTATTTGTCCCTAGCTATGAATTGCTTTTTTTTTAAAAAAAAAAAATATGCAGGTGATCAACCATCAAATTCCTTTAAGCCTAATGGCTGACACTATGAATGTTTTCAAGGAGCTATTTGAGATGCCAGCTGAATACAAGACAAAGTTTTACTCTGTGGATATTAGTAAAAAATGCAGAATTTACTCGAGCACAATGAACTATGACAACGAAGAAATTCACTACTGGAGGGATAATTTTACCCATCATTGTTATCCGCTCGAAGAACAAATTCAGCTCTGGCCTGAAAAACCAACCAGATATAGGTACATTCGATCCATCAATTCAAGAATTAGCGTTATAAGTATGCATTTTGGTTATAAAAAAAAATGTATGACTGGTCAACTCGTCTGATTGTTTAGCAATCATATATATTATTTAAATGTTGCATTTATTTCCTTCAGAGAAGTAGTTGGTGCATATTCAACTGAAGTCAGGAAGTTTCTATTAAAGATTTTGGATTTTATTTCCGAAGGATTGGGGCTAAATTCGGGATATTTCGACGGCGAACTTAGCGAAATCCAACTATTGTCCGTTAATCATCATATTCCGTGCCCCAATCCGAGTTTGACACTTGGCATGCCCGAGCACACGGACCCGAACCTCATAACAATTCTCCATCAATGTCATGTTCCGGGCCTACAAGTTTTTCACAACGGTCAATGGATGAATATTGAGCCAACAATTAATGGCTTAATCGTCATTCCAGGACTCCAACTTAAGGTAATTACAAAAAAAAATATATAACGAGCCCTTTTGATATTGATGATTATATGAACGTATTTTAGAGTTGGTGCATATGATGAGCTGACTTGTCTAACGATTAAGCTGTCTAATTAATATGATGAACATTGACCAAAATTGTTGACTTCGTGGGCCTATTTAACTATAACAACATGACTAGAAATGCAATTAAGCTACTATTATATATATATATAAAATTTAAGTTAAAAGAACTTATTAGAACCCTGCATTATTTGCATTCTATAATTTGTGGCCGATCAAATGTTACGACAGGTGATTAGTAACGGGAGATTTTCTAGCCCAATCCACCGCGTGATAACGCATCAAAAAGAGTCTCGCACGACGATAGGGACATTCCTAATCCCATCAAACGATGTCCTTATCCAGCCTGCCAAACAGAACCCTGCAGGGGACAACAATGACCCTGTCTACACAAGCTTTACCTACAAAGAATTTTTCAACAAATTTACTGGGAGTAAATGTGATGCTGAGTCCACACTGGAATTTTTCAAGAAGAAGACTTGAAATCTGTAGCTAAGTCAAAATGTACGTAAAATAATAATTGGAGATGGGCCCCACTGATCCCTCTTCCCCTGCTTTTGTATATCTTGGTGTGTAATAATATTATCATGCATGTGTGGAGATTGAAAGTAGTTTGTGTATTTGTGGCTTGAAGTGTACAAATTATTTGATGGCATGAGTGTTTTAGTTTTCATAATTTATATATAGATCTAATGTAAATGTTCTTGGATGTTGAATAAATTGTTTTATTTCATTATGTATTATATTGATTACCGAAAAATAATTTATGGAATGAAAGAGTTCTGATAGATTGTGAAATGCACTAGCAAAGACAATTTTGTTTAGATTGTGCTTTCGTTGTCGTGTGTTTATACACGAATTTTATTTTTTCCGCCACATTTTTTCTCTCTAAACCACACCTTTCACTTGCAAACTAAAACTTTAGCTACACCAATACAAAGTGAAATTTGCTCAAGACTATTAAACATTGCATTCACAAACTAACCAAAACCAGAATTAGATCATACATGAGATCGATTTCTCATTAGTTTCCAGGTACATTATTCATCAATATTCATCTATCGGCACGCGTTAAGGGAAACACAAAACAAAAAATCAGATGCTCGCATGAAACGAAAAATCAAAACTGCATGCATTCGCACCAATATCTCTAATAACGAGCCTGAAAATAAGCTCGAGCTTGACTCGTTTATCCCTAATAACGAGCTCAGTTCGAATCTTAACGAGCCGATCTCGAGTGATTAGCCTGTCTTTTAACCGGAAGTCAGAACTCAAGCTCCTAGCTTCAGAGCTCATCAACAGCTATAGAACTCTTAGCTACTGAGATACGAGAAGAGAAAATGCACTTTTGCATCTATATAAAACGTAAAAAGTATGATTCCAGATGTGCTCTTACGAGGGAAAATTGGATTGCTAACTTTCACAGCTATGTCAGACGTAAATTCACTAATAATAAGTCGATCTCGAGTTTTAATTAACGAGCCAAACTATAGAATGAAATTTATATAAAATTTCTCTTTGGGACTTATCCAAACAAGCTGTAAATGAGCTTGAGCTCGGCTCATTTGACAAACGAGCCAAGCCGAACTCGAGCCTTAACTAGCCGAGCCAGACTCGTTAAATTTAACAGTACTAGTTTCGAATTACATTATTCATCAGTATTACTCGTCTATCAGCACGCGTCAAGAGAAACACAACACATCAACCCGAGAAAATCAGACGTTCGCACGATACGAAAAAAATCGCACCAAAACCAAATCCAATCCACACACACATACATACATACATACATACATTCACCACAAGAAAAACATGTATATGTATATATATGAAACTTCTTTTAATTTGCAACAACAAAAGTAAAAAAACAACATAAAATAACATATAATAATATATATTGATCATCTATTGTGAACCGTCGAGAAGATCCTCAAGCAATTTATCGTCCAAATACTCGAACTCGATGACCCTCTCGTCGTGCGGCTGCCCATTCCGGGCAGCTCGGCCACTGGCCGAGAGGAATCCGGGCGGTGGTCCGTCTCGGTAATGGCCGTCGTTAGGGAAGTTGAGGATGGCCTGGTGGCCCCGAAGGGCATAGGCCGCCCGATCATAGGCTCGGGCGGCGGCCTCGGCAGTGTCGTAAGTTCCGAGCCATATGCGGGCCCCGTTTCGGTTGGGGTCTCGTATCTCAGCCGCGTATTTGCCCCACGGGCGGCGGCGGATGCCGCGGTACTTCACCTCCCTTTGCTCCAGTGGGTCCATGTATATATATATTAATGTATTATTATTATATGTGACTTCTTCTTTTTTCTTTGTTTATTTATTTGGGGT